GGTATGCTTACAATTATGTGGTGCTCTGCGTGTGAAACTTTAAGACTATTTTTGAAGTGCGCTAGATATGCCTTGCACTGTGTGTGTGTGTATGCGCGTGCGCGTGTGCGTGTGGATATGTGCAAGAGTATACATGAGGGAGCAAGAGTGGAAATGCAAKGAGGAGCCCCTTGTTGTCTTCAGACCTGTCCACACTGGTGTGTTGCTGAGACTTCACTCTGGTGGAGGATTCACAYCTGACTCAGCTCAAGGTGTCGATTTCTTTTTAATCTTTACCCTTAAGTTCCTTCAACTTTGCTCATTATGTAATGTTTGTAAAATTAGGACCCAAATTACTCTGCCCTCTTGCATTGACTGCTGCCAGTCTGTAAGAATCATTTCTCCCAACCAGAAATCCTACCCCTGTTAACTTGATTTGCATTTTATTTCACGTGTACAGCCTTTATTGTGCTTGTCTGTGTTCATTCTCTCTCTCCCTTTTCTGAATCAAATTCCTCTTTTTGCTTTTTTACGAAGTATACAAAAACAAATCGTATCTTCTCTGTTGATTCTTTAATTAACATGAGCCAGAGTACTTTCCTCTGTCGTCTTGGCACTTTCAGGATTTCTCACTGCTGATATATGGACTCTGAATGGAATTTTTGAAGCAAATTTCTAAAGTCTGTATCATTCCTGAAGGTCACATGTACCTATTGTGAAAATGTGAAGCTGTATTTCTGAACCTGAAATAAATTATAACATTTGAAGGACCTCCTCTTTCCTAATTCTTGTATATCTTTGAATCCTGTCTGTACCTTTGAGTAACGCCTGAGACTTTTAACAACTTATAGCTGTTTTGCTCCAATTGGTCCAGAATTAGCAAAGTGGAGAATGACAACATCTTTCTTTTTGGTCATTAATTTGGGAAAAGAGGAGATTTTTAAATAGAACAGTTTGGACAAATCAAAGGCAGAAGAGTGGGAGATATTTTTCTCTAATTTGAAGAAATTGTTGGAATAGACTGAAGAAATTGTCAAACAACTTTAGACAGCCAGAGGGTTTGATGTGACTTTTAACAAGAAGCACCGTGACAGTTTGCTACTGAAAAGGAAGCATCCGTGTAAAATCCAGGAGGGTAGAAGGGGGAATGATGCTCTGGCTAAATGCTAGGTCAACACAAGGCATTTCCTGCAGCAAATAATGAGCTCCTGGACCAACAGTTGGCCTCAGTTACTGCTCAGTGGGTGGGGGTGGGGGGACACTTACCTTCTGGTTTCCCTGGTGCATGAGTGGTTCACACAGGCTGGTCCTAATCGAGTTTCCAGAGAAGAGAGAAAGACTCTCCTCTGAATTCTGAGGTGGGGTTCTGTATCAACCTACACAGCCCCAAATGCAGAAGACAAGGGACAGGCAGAAAGAACTGTAGGTTTATCTTCTCTCCACGATCAGGATGTGCTGTCTGTGAAGAGARGAGTTGGACTGGTCAGGTGTGAGCAACCTGACCTTGTTGTGATGTCCTCATCTATGTCCATGGTGTTTCCATGATGGAGCTCCCCTACTTCAGAGGCAGCTTCACCGGGAAGAGGGGTTCCGAGGAGAGCCAGGCTGCACCCTTGTGTTTCCACTGCATGAATCCAAAGGGTGTTAATAACRTATTCAGAATAGTTTCTAAGGAAACCTACCCAAAGCTAAGAACCTTATTTGGCAAAATTCCACTTGGTTTTTAAAAACAGTTCTGGCATCAGTATACATCTCTGCTTGATTTGTATTCAAGATTCTGGTTTTTCTGTGGGAATCCTTACATTTCATGTTGAGAACAGTATCTGACCTCATCCCCTGCTCCCCATACTCCAGCACACCTGGAATTTTGGCTTTTTGGATCTGTTCTTTCACTAGGGAGCTTAATAATTGGAACACGTGGAAGAGATAGCAGCTGAAACTACAACCTTCATCCAAAGTTTCCCAAAGTTCATTCCATGAGATKTTTAAAGTTTTATATACTCACCCCCCCAACAGAGCTCTTGGTCAAATATGCTCTGGGAGACGATGACTAAAAATTAAATTGATTTTTACTGGAAGGAAAAAAAAATCAGAGCCCATTGTGAATCTCCAAGAAAGGAGTAGTGTCTTCATGTTTCTCATTTAATCAGTAGAAGCTTTATTCATAGCACAGCTCAGAGAAGTAGTGTTCTGAGGCACATGCACTCTGCTTCTGTGTCTTTAGGCAAAAGAAAAAGTCATTAGGTGTGACTGTCCCAGTATGGATGGTCAGCCACAAAAAGCTGAGTGACAAAATCAAGTATAAGGSCCTCAAAAGTTTCCAACTGAGGACAATCCTCTTGGAGCTCTGGTGCCTCTTCACAGTCATGTCTGAGTCCCCAGGAGGCAGGTCCCATGGGATTAGGAAACTTGGAAACAGACTAGAGACACATGCAACAAGCCTTAATGAGCCTCACAAAGAATTCAGACTGTTTTCTGACTTACCCACCATGTTCTGCAAAAGAGCTACGTTAAATTAATCACGGTACCTTCATGAAATTATTGTGAAGACAGGTCCAACTTGATTTAAGGTCCGAGATCATCAGAGAAGGAAGGAGAAGAAGAATACCTGTTGCTTTGCCTTTCTTTCCTCATCTTCCCCAACCTTCAGACTCATGCACTTTTCTGAGAGATGAAATTACCTAAATTAGGGGCCAACAGAGCAAGCAGAGAATGGTTTATGAGACTTTCGACAGAAAAGGAAAAAGCTTTCTAGGAATCTTGCCAGAAGAAGTATCACCATCAGACTAATTCACAGCATTGAGATATATCCGAGAGAATAATGGATAATTTGTTATTTTGAGTAAAAATTGACTCAAATATAAATTATGCCCATGATCCATATACAGATTCTCCTTGATGCTTTGGCCAAACAGTTCTGTGGAAGTTATTTTTCAGGATGCTGAAGAAAAATATAACTTGAAATTATAATCTTGATTAGACAGATTTGCTTATATGGCAAATCCTAGTGTACTGGTTAGCCAGTCAGTATCGCCATTTAGTACTCCCACCTTCATGCTGCTGAGCCGGGGCTGGGGGTGGGGATGGAGGAACAACAACATGAAAGCATGAAGYACCTTCTTAGCTCTACATGTAAGAAATTTCAAGTATGTTCAGCTCTTGAATTCAAATAATATGTAAGGGATTCTGGAAAAGAAACAGCAAAAACCCAAACCGCCCAGGTCCARGATACAACTGACTCCGACCCTCCAAGTTCTGTCAGCCTTGACAACATTTGGCAGAGGGGAAAGCTGGATGCATGTGAAGGGGAAACAACGAGCCCAGGGCCTGAGGGTCACTCTGATATTTGCAGCAAATGCTCTAGCTGTTGGCGAAATGCACTTCAAGTCCCAAAGTTTCTGATCCTGTTTCTGCACTGGAACACCGGCCTAGCTGCCCAGCGAGCATCSTGGCCCTTGCTCCCAGATGCCCCTTCATCACCGTGGACTTGCTGTCAGCCTTAATGGCTCACCTCYCCACCCTGCTGAGGTCATTAAACTGTTCTGAAGCCCCTTCAGAGCTCAAAAATAGTTTCTGTTTGCTGGGCAGGTGATAAATCTCATTGAGCCTGACAGAAATTCAATTATACTTTCTTCATGAAAGAACCAGGGATACCCATTCCCTGGGTCTCACCAGCCAAAGGCTTGCAGACCCCCCACAGTTGAAAGGTTAGTGCTAATAACAAGCTCTTCATCATTTAAATGGATGGAGGCCTCGGTGTAACCAGCTTAAATTGGACCAACAAAAAAGATTGGCCTTGGACTTTATCACTGCTCAGAAATAGCCTGTTCAGTTTGACTCTATTAACAGAAAGTTTAAAAAAAAAAAAAGTTTTTTGTTTGTTTGTTTTGGTTTTGTTTTTTATAGACTGTATTGCTTCACTTCCTGGCTTTTTGTAAATTGAGGTGGAAGCATGTTGCACAGGGATGAGCAGCCACAGCAAAGTCCAGAGTGGGGTACAGATAGCTCACAGTCCTCTGGCTTGCTGTAATGTTGAGTTCATCACCGATTCCGTTAGAGACTTTCTCAAATGCAGACTTCCGCTGGAAGCCAGCGGGAAAGCGTTACTTGGCCTGCTCTTTGTCTACAACAGAGCTGTTCAATGAAAGCGTCTCTGTAGCTTCAGTCACTGCAAATCATCCTCCTGGCAAATAGGCTGAGGTTCAAGATGAAGCACAACTCTGACTTCACAATCCCTGGGCCTGATGAGATGCAGGTCAGGTTAAGAATGTGGAGAAATATCCAGAAAACCAGCTTTACCCTGACTCACTTGAGAATAAATCAGAATATGAGTTGCATCTAACTCTCAGCAGGAAATTCTACAAAATCCTGTGGTCATCAAGGACCAGCCCCGGCCTACTAGTGTCCTGAGGCCCGATTCTGAGCTATCACATGTCAGGACTCTTCACCTGCAGCAAATTCTTGTTTCTAAATCCTTTTCTGTGAGATTAACCCCTGACACCTTCTGCACTGTAATTTCATAATTCACTTGATYTCCTGAAACCTTGCTATTTCCCTCACTTTAGAAAAAATTTCACCTGCCATATTTCTATATCAAGTGCCTCTGCCCCTATGGAGAGTTCACAATATCCACTTAAGTCTTTGGAAMTAGAGTCACAAAATCAGGACTGGGAAACAAATGTACAACTTATACAGGTATTTAGCCCAGGTACTCTTCTTAGTTCTCCTACATATAATTGCATGATTTGTAGTTCTCTGATGCAAAATAATAGGATTTCCGAGCAGGCGCAATGGCTGGCACCTCGCATGCTGCTGTATCGGGGATAGTTCTGGGAACTGCTAATTTGGCCACTTGGTGTTCTTACATGTCCCTGCATGTCTGCCTGTTTTTTGTCTGATTTGCATTTGGCTTTTGTGAGATATTTTTGCATGCTATTATTTTATTTCATAATTTAAACATTGTTTTCTCCCTCTGTATCTGTGTTTTCTTCTTGTTATTTGCTTTGTTTTGTTTTCACTAGGCGACCCCCTCCTGCCGTTCCTGGACGACCATCCTAACCCCCATCACTCATCTCCTTTTGTTTCCAACAACATGTCCATCCATGGTATTTAAAAACCTTTTGTTTGCACTATATGTCATATGTACATAAAAACTTTTATTTTTGATCCATGTCTATAATTAAAAAATTCTATTCTATATAAAAAATGAAAAGTGTTCTGTTTCATTTTCTAAAGAAGACTCAAATTAGAATATGTCTCAACAATAAACAGGTAAGGTGAAAAACTGCATAATTTGATATCTTAAGGAACATAATATTTACATTGTTGGAGCATTGTGATTTAAGATGCTCCTTGCCAAGCAACAATAATCATCTTCAACTGAAATGCCCACTCAACACAAAGAGTGAAAGAATGAAGGAAAATTCTAGGTGCCTAGAGAAACGAAGACTGAATGATTTTAGTTGCCTCCAGGAATCCCATTATTCTTACTGCACCAAAAATATTTTTTATTTGTATTATTTTTTCTAAACACTCTTAGAGGAGGAGATAAAATATGKAAGATCATGTAAGAAACYCTAGGCCTGAAACATACAACCCCACAAATTTTATCTGGCAAATTTGGGGGTAAAGAAACCACATCAGGGAGGAAGTCTGGCCACCTTGGGAGGCTTTGCCATGTCAGAAAAGATCTAGAAAATGGATCTACACAAGTGAGAGGGAAGAGAACATTTTTATGTCTCAGTCCTCAAATGATAATCCAACRTTGAAATTTTAGGCTATTAAAGTGTCCCAAAGATTTGTCCAAATAAAATGTTTATTATTAAGACAACACAGTCCAACCTGCCAATTATGTAGCAGCCATCTCAAGGGTTTTTAATTTAAATCAGAATTTTCTGTTCGAAGATTTATGTGGCCCAGATTAGAATTTAAAAGTAGCCTTTCTTAAATGAAATCACTTTTGACATAAGAGAGTCAAAAAGTCGGTCATCCCTGGCATTGCGTTTATGTGTGACCTCATGAGCCCGGGCAAGAAAGGCAGGAGGAGAGGTGGGCAGGACCTGCCAGCTGGAAAATGGAGACCCCTCACTAACTGGGCTCTTGCTCTGGACCATGAAAATATGATTTTATGGGAACTGAATTCTCTATTCAAAAATGCAAACCCAGTTTCTCAGGCTAAAGGTTTCCCATCACATGTTACCTCCTATCTACTGTATCCCAGGCTCAGTGGTGACCAGGTAGAGCCAGGGCCAAAGTTCAAAGGGTCCAAAGCAAGGCATTCAGCTGACCACAGGTGCACCTGGAGGCACGGCATACTGTCCCTTGCCTGCCCCCACCCCAGTCCAGGCCTTTGGTTTTCAGTCAGCATTCTTACTGGAAGGCACCCCGCCAGACATGTGGCATTCACCCGCCACAAGGTATTCCTAGGCTAGTYTCTACCACCTCCCCACTCAAAAACGGGTCCCCAGGGGGAAGGGATTTTTCCCAATTTATCCTTTTTAAGCGTTTGGTACTTTTACTCTTTGTCTAAAACTTGGACTTATTTTTCTACAGTGTTGCCCAGTTCAGACGTCTTGACAGTTAAGTTGACCTAATGGACAAGGAGAAAGATCCAGTCAGAGCAGAACAAAATGATGATCTTCCTCAGCCTCCCTTTCTCTCATTTTATAGGCAAGAATAGAAAGGGAGCAATCAGGGGAGGGAGCAGCCTGCGGTACAGTTAACCGTGCTAAGGATTGTCGATATGTATGCACTGTCAAYAGTGTCCCCGTGTTTCCTAGCAGGCCCTTCTCCAACAAGGGACTCTCTGTCCCTGTCTCCTCCTCCACCCTCTGTATTTGATAGAAAACTGGAAAGGTACTGCTTTCCTCAGAGTTGATCAGAACTCTGGTCATGAAGAACCCAACTATTATATCTTTAATAAATAAATAATATTCTGTAAGTATTGTCACTCCTGAATTCTCAGAATGCCCTTAGACATCAGGAATACCAAAGAAGTTACAAGATAAAAGTAGCTTATAAAATGGCTTAAGAAGTAATTATAGCTGAGTGCTATGATCTTTCTGGGAAGACAGCTATTGAGTTCTAGAACTATATGACCTGCTTGCCCTAACAGGTTCATGTTCCAGAACATGGTGATTGTGACTTCTGATGAAGAAATCTGGAACTCATTTCAGCCAATCAAAGACCAAATTTCCCATCCCTAATAGAGTATGTAATGCAAGACTAAATCCACAGGTGTTGGTTCAGAAAAAAGGCATAATAGTATTGAAACTGTGAAGTGGTCTGCCAACTTACTTTGGCTCCTAACCAAGAGGCTTTGGATTCAAGAAGGTGACTCTAGAGCCATCTTCAACTGGCAGCAGGGAGGGGAGCTGGTGTTCCCATTCCACAGCTGGAGAAACCCAGAATCGAGGAGATGGAAAAGAAAAAACTGAAGGTAGGAAAACCACGATATCCAATCCTTCCCTCATGGGGCCTCCCTGGTAAGTAAACATCTATGAGCCTTGGGGACCGCTGTTCATCAAGGGGTTTTCAACAGACATCCCAGAACCTGGAAGCCAGAGGAGGTAAGGAAGTACCTGTGCTTATTACAGGCGAGCAGACTTCAATGGGTGGGAGCACAATGATCTTTGTCCTGTGGTTTGAAGAACAGCTGTACTTGCCAACATTTGGCCTATAACTCAACATTGGCCTATAAGTCACATAGATATTGGATTCTTTAGTCCAGTTTCCTGAGATTCTGAAGTAAACCTTCCCAACGGTAAATATATATATATGAAACTCACAGAAACTTAAGATTGCTGGAAAAGAAAACAGTTTCTGTAGCTCTTTTACTACAGGAATCTGTATCTGAGTGAATCCACTGAACTACCTACGCTAACCGCTGTGTGCCCGTTGGAGGGCCCGGCCCCCTCCACATCATAGTATAGGCCTTTTTGTCATATTACGGTCACACATTAAGATATCAGGCCAGGTGTCAGGCGGGTTACCGGAGGAGTCAAGATGACAAACTGCTTCTTCCACACTCAGTTCTTAATCACATTTCAGGGTACTTTACATCAGGCCTGATTTTCAGCCCTGGTTCACGTGTTCAGTGAAACCCATGAACATGTGTCACAAGACCAAGGAAAGGGCACCTTCACAAACCCCAGGAGGCGGAAGAGACACAAGGGCCCTCCACAGTGACTAAGGAGGCACTGATGCAGGTTCTGCCCCTCAAAACAGCAGCTRAAGGAGTAGCATCTGGAAGCTGGTGTGACACTACTGAGCCCMCCGGTCTAGTCTCAAGGGGCTCCACTTTCTTCTCCAGCATATTTCAGAAGGCAGTGGAGAGCAAGTGGGAGCCAGGGCACAGTTGCTTTTGCCTGCCTTTTCCCTTTTAAAGACAAAAATGCTCTCAGCAACATACTCAAAAGCTTCCTCAGGCCTAAAAGATCTGTACCTGTGGCAACTTAAAAACAGCAGGAGGCCTGCAGTGTTCTTACTTTCCAGGGTCCAAATGTGACTTGGGCACAGACCCATCCTGGAATGGCGAGCAGTGAGCCTGCCGAGCTTGGGAAAGAAAGCAGAGCCTCTAAGCCAGCTTTTGAAGGGGCCCACGGGACCATCATTCCCTTCAACCCCAGCACTGCTGAAACCAATTTGTTCCATCATCCTACCAGCATTTTGGTCAAAGAACTGTAGGGCTAGTCTGTTCAGGGCAGAAGGCCATGGGCTGATCCTGGGGGGCCCATGAACCTCAATGCCAGTTGGTGCCATTTGCTTTTCTAGCCCCTTCCTGCATGACCCTACAGGCATGAGGCGGCACAACCCAAGAGGGTTGTGGGCCCTTGGGCCGCAGTGCTGACAGCTGGGTGGCTTCTCAGTTCCTCCACCAGCAGACATAGCAATACACCTGGAAGGGAATGGCACTGGGTTTGCTGGCAGTTGTTGCTGTTTCCCAAGGTAAACAAACCAACATGCATGGTTGCTGTGAATTGTGAGAGAAAAAAACACAAAGCCCAAGTGTTGGCTGGGTCTAAACTAGCACCCTGAGAGGTGCCCCTGCACTGGCCTCGCCCTGCACTAAGTGCTCTGAGCCCTCCCACTGGCTAAAGGAGTGGGCTCCTCAGGCCCCCTTCCACAGGGTCTTGGTTAAACCCTGGCTAAGTTCACATCACTTAGTGAGAACTGGGCTTTCCAGAACACCAGAGAGACACTGCCTGCTGCCCCTGTGAAAACACTCACCACCCAGAGAAGAGCCCACACTCCTGTTAGTGCACCATCAAAACGTGGTCCTGATCATGCGAGGGCTGAGGGAGCCCTCACTCCCAGACCACACCTCTTTCAAGGTGAAAAGGAGGCCCCCCAAACTCACTCCCACCACTCCCACTCCCACCAGTCTTCCTCCCAGTCTGTCTGAGCTCCTCACACCTCTCTGCTCAGCCCACCTCCCCTCCTGGTCATTCTCACCTGATTCCTTGCCTCCACTTCCACTGAGATGATTGAAGCAATCAGAAAGGAACTTCAGAGTCCCATGCCTCATCTACCCTCTTATCCCACCTGCACCCACACCCTCCATCCTCCATTGCCCCATGGATGGCCATCCCTGCCCGTCCACCATCTTCCTCCGCCACTAGATCCCACCTCCCACTTGGGCCTCTCGGGCTCCGCTCCTCACACACCACCATTACCCCCTCTGTGTCCCCGTTTCCATCTGCAGAAGCAGGCTGCCGGTTCTGCCCTTCACTTTCCCTTTCATTTTCTCTACTATATCCCAGCTTCCCTTGAAACAAAACTTCCAGAAAGCTGTCTGTACTTGCTGCTCCAATTCCTCTCTGTTCTCTCTCAAACACACTCCAGTAGGTCGTTCCCACCACTGCACCATGACCTGCTCTTTTCAAGGACACCAGTGACCTCCTCCTTTGAAACCCAACGGTCAGTTCTCAGTTATTTCCCAAACCAAAATTCATCAAGAATTTCAATCATCTTACTGAATATCATTCTAAAAAGGAATACCAATAATGTCCACAAGATGGTACTGTCGCAGACCTGCTTCCCTGAACTCAGTGAGCTTGAAACCTGTATAATTGTGTAACTGATGCCCTCTGCTGACTGTGCTTTTCTTGTCCTGGAGACCGGCTGGTAAAGTGTGAATGATGGCTTCATGTGCTCCTTGTGAATCTCCAAATTAAGAACAGGCACTGTGTGACAGGAAAGAGCTAAAAAAAGACAGCAGGCACCTTCATGCATCCCACTGAGGAACTATTCTTGAAACTGGCTCAAATTTGGGGAACTTTCAGCTGATATGGATGCAGTTGCACAGGTCTGAGTCCCTTCTGTCCCATCACCAGTGCTGCTGGGTTTGTGAAAGCACTCTAAGTGGCCTCTGGGAAACCACCCATTTTTATCCCGAAATATTCATCTACTTAAAAAAAAAAAAATCAGAAAAAAAAATCAGAAAAAGAATTTGAGATGACACCGCTGAAGAAACTAGTTCCAAATCCTGTTCTATTCATTTTTGAGAAATCTTAGGTTAAGAAAAATAGAAACACTTATTCTTAGGATAACACCTTCCTGATGAAAATTCTGAAATGAAATGAATTTTTAGCCATAAGGGGCCAGTACAGGAACTACCTCAGGAAGAACCAGCTCTTCTGTGGGCACCTGATGCACTTTGCTTCTGGCCTCGGCCCAGTTCCCCTGCACATCAACTTAACCCAGGCAGAGCACCCCTTACACAAAATGCTTGGGACTAGAAGTGTTTGGGGTTCTGATATTTTCACATTTTAGAATATTTACATAAGATCTTGGCATGGGAGCCAAGTCTAACCATGAAATTAGTCTCACATATACCTTATGCACATAGTTAGGCAATTTCATACATTTTAAAATAATTTTGTCTGTGCAACAGTTTCATGGTATAGGATTTTCCACTTGGGCATAACATTGATACTCAAAACATTTCAGACTTTGGAGCATTCTGGATTTCTGGACTAGGGATGCTCAAGCTACAGCTAACACTAACATAGTATTTGTGTTAGGCATAATTCAAAACACTTTGTATAGCTTCATCACTTCTAGAGATCTTTCATTCACATTTTACAACTGAAAACTGAGACACACAACAATTTCATAATGAATCCAATCTCTGATCACTCACCACTTCCTTAGACAAGCTGTATTGATCCCCACTGCCTGCAACACAGCGCTCAGATTACTGACTACTCACAGACCCTGAATTACTATTCAAGCTTCCCCTGCTTTTCCTCAAAGCTCCCCCCCCACCATTCTCTGACCCTAAACACCCATAACTCTCCATCTCTGCACCTATGCAAATAACAGATATAGCAAAGAAGTCGTCACATTTTGCCTACAAATGAATTTTTTGGCCCAGTTAGTTTGAGATGGATTTTACTTCATATTAAAAATCAGATTTACAGCTATTGAGATTTCATTTAAAATTTAATGTGGAAATCTGAAGTCTCAAGAAAAGCCCAAACTGAGCAGAAACAATCAGTGGCAGCCACCCTCCTGGGACAGGGCTTGCATTCTCCAGTTTTCCACTGTCACTCACGTTACTTATCTGGCTCCAAAAGACCTTTGCCACACTGCCCTAAAACCACCCTTTGCCTACCTAAATCCCACCCACCCTCCAAGACGAAGTTTAAATGACACCACTGCTAATAAATGTCTCCAATTCCAGGTAAACTTCTCTCCAGCCTCTTCTGAATTCCCCTAACATTCTTCTTGTGCCTTATGGCAATCTCACCCTCCCTTATTAGTACTGTACATGCCTCACCTAGAACTAGGTAGACACTCTGAATCAAGGGTAATGACCACTTCTGTGATCTTGGGCAACAAATCTGGACACAAGTCCTAGGATTTGAGCTCTAGAAAAATAAAAGCCTACATGAGTACCCTGAAAAAGAGAAGTGTCTTTACCAAACATACATTTTATTCTCTCTTCACACCACTTTTGCCTTCTGCTTTCAGAAAAGTCATGAGACAACTTGATGGATGTGTTGTTTTTTAATAGAGACCACATCATCTGTTATAGTGAATGATAGATGAGAGGCAATAACTCAAGAGGACACCAGAATCATAAAATGACACCTTCACCACCCAAGCCTTTGTCAATTTTTTTCTTCTGTTATCTCATCCACATCAGCCTGCTGCTTCCAGAAGGGCTCTGCCTTCCAATTTTATGCTGGTTAGGATGCCAGTCTATCACTTTGCCTTAATAGTGTAATGGGGTCCCTAACTTAACTGAGGAACCTGGACAAGTCTTCTTTGATTTCAGCTTCATCCCAAGGCCCATGAATGTTCTCTTTAAAAAGCTGCAGGCGAATGAGATAGAAAGGGCAGAGACAGGAGATGGAAACCAGCAGAAGAGCAAAGAGTATGGCTCCCACTGCACTAATGGAGAGCAGGCCTCCCAGGGCTGAGAAGGCAAAAAGCACTGTGACTCCAACATAGCTACGGGGAGTACAGGCCTTCAGTTTCTTCTGTAACATGGGCCACAGTGCAAAAATCTGGATGGCAAACGTCACCATGACGAAGGCATGCACCGACCGGGGAAGACGTGAGGCCAGGCAGACAGAAGCAAAGATGGCCATGTTCAAGGACAGTGTGCTGGATACAATGGCGGCATTGGCTCCATAGTCAAAGAAGATGAGGTGGCCCAACAGCATGAAGACTGACATGGCATAGATGGTGTCAGTGCTAACGGACTCTGTCAGGGTCTTCAGCACTGGTGAAAAACCGTAAGTGAAAGCAACGAAGACTAGGGCACTCTTCAGGTCAGCCCATCGGGTCCGGCCGCTCTTTTTCCGCCCTTCACCACCATCAATGAGATCAAACAAAACATATCCCATCAATGAAGATGCCAGGCCAGTTCCAAAGAGCCAGTGGGGGGCCAAAAGACCCTCATCCATATACCACCAGATGACCACAAAAACACAGACGCTGCACAGCTGTTGTATCACCACACTGGACTCAAATACCACAGCCCAATATTGGTATTTTCGGGCATAGATGTTTTTCCGGAGCTCTTCCAGGAACCGCCGGTCCACATAGTTATCAGGGAAGGGCTGCCGCTCATACAAGACCTTCTGCCACTTGGCCTCCTTGGTGCTAGTTATAGATTGGGCACACATTATCTTCTCCTTTCCCTTAAACTCAGGCCAGTTCAATCTCCCTCAAGTAAGCCCATATGGTTTTCCTTTTTTTTGAAATAAGACTTCTCTGGAAATTCCATGCCGTTATCTACCCCACCTTTCCTTGTTTTCAAAGGCAGCAACCCAGGCTAGGCCCACAATGGATGCAATTGTTCTCTGAGGCAAGACAACACAGACAAACTCCTAGAAAGAGAGACCTGTGAAAATATGAAAGTTGTCAAAGGTCAGAGTAGAATTGAGACAAAAATCAAACCAACTCGGGTTACCACAAGTCTACATAAAATGAATGTGATTGCCTTTTTATAATCTGGGATATTAAAACTTCACTTCCAATTTTTAAACTATAATTCCTTGAACAATATATACCTGCTAGCCATCACTTGGAGTGTCTACTGTGCTAAATGCCTAGGCACTTTTACTTAATCTTCACAAGGTATTGGTCCCGTTTTTTAGTAAAACAGAGGAGATCCAAATTGCTGGGGCATTTCTGGCCCAGAGTGACAAGAGTGGTAAACGGTGGTGCCAGGACTGCAACCAAAGTCTGATCTGCGCCTCACCCCATCGTCTCCCTCGACACCCGTCTTCACCCAAAGGTCCCCTACCCAGGTGAGCGCCACTGCAGGCCTGCACAGGCACTTTATGCAAATTAACAGGGACAGAGCCCACAGCTCTCACTGGGTTCGCAGGGGCACCCACTCCAGGCTGCACACGGGAAGAGGGTCGCGCTCCCAGCGTGGGAGCCAGGCCGCCAAGAAGCCAGAACCTAACGGGGCGCACCTCCCTTTGGACTCTGGGGCTCCAGGAAGACCCTCAGTGACCCCGGGACGCTCAGGCAGCACCCGTGTCCTCAGCAAACCCCAGAGGAGCGCTCGCTGCCCGACCTCCTGCCTTCCGCGCGGACCACGCAGGTATCGCCGGGCACGCCCCCCTCACCGCAGCGGGGCCGAGGGGTCCGCAGAGCCGCGCAGGGGTCGGGAAGGGGTGTCCCTGGGGACGCTTCGCTCACCGCCCGGCCACCGCGTCTTGGGCCTGCAGGGGACCGCAGAGCCAGAGGACCGAAACACGGACGCGCGCACAGAACCCACCTGCCTTTGAGTTCCTAGGGTGCACGGCCGAAGCGGGCAGCCGCCCACCGACTTCCCCTTCCGGGGAGCCGCCTAGGGCTGCGGCGAGCACTTCCGGGTCCCGTCYGTCCACGGCAAGAGCTCCCCGCGCTGCGCCACGCCGCGGCGTGAGGCCGCTGCTGCCCCCTACTGGCTGCTCCTCTGTGGAGACCGGCCGGAGGCCGAATCCCAGCCCAGGGCCAGAGAGAATGACCGGCCCTGGCACAGGGCTTCCTGCACATCCATGCCTGTCATGACAGACATCCAGTACCTTTGGCGCTCGGGACGCCGCAGTGATCGGCCCAGATAAAAATCCCCGCTCCCATGGAGCTTGCTTTCTTGTTCACTGACCTTTGCGGTGGAGATGTGGTGCGAAAGGTTTTAACTGTCTAAAGCCTGGCTGAGGTCAGTGAGGCCCAGTTGCAGTGGCTCTCCCCTAAGCTTGGCCTTCTGAAGGGTGAGGACAGAGAGTCCTGCGTCCGAAAACACAGCCAGAGGCTTGGGCAGGAGATTGCTCTTATTCAGCCGACTTCTTGGAAGGGCTAAGGGATTCACAAACAGATGGGAATAGGAAGGAAGCAAAGGCAGACAGCCTGGCCCAGGACGGAGTGGACAGGGAGGTCAGAAAACACGAACCCATCCGTAGCTGCAGTTCACACTATCTGAGCTTTGACTTCTTCATCTGAAAAGTGGAGATAACACTTATTTGCTCTTGTACTTTATGGGATGGTGGAGAGTCAAATACAAAATATAAAAAGGTCTTGTAAACTGTGGACCGCTACATGGCCACTACTAGCTTACTCTGGTCATTGTCAGGACAACAGTGGACAACTGATAAACTGCAAAATGATCTCTTTTTGTTCCTCTTTAGGTTTCTGTTCCAAAATTTGATAAGGTTCCTTGGCTTAGTGAGACCAGCCACATGAACAAGCCATTAGTTCTCAGCCTCCCCAGAAGGTAACTGCTCAACTGAGGCCAAGCTTTCCTGAAAGTTCTCGTGGGAGAAGTTTTCTTAAGGGAGAGGGTATTGGAGGGATACATCTGCTCAGTCCAGAAACCAAGTCAAGTGCTCAACAACCAGAAATGTCCTGGGTTTCTCAGGCAAAAGTGAAATCTGGGTAGAAGCCTGAGTAGAGATGAGACCCGGAACAACTTCCTCTCTACCACCACACTCAACAGTGCAAGAGAAGTGTACCCCTAGACCACCTCTCAAAACACTCCCATCTGCCTCATTGCCCCCACCTTCTCCTCTGCATTAGTTTGAAATTTTCAGATTTTAACCCTCAGAAGTCTAGAACTACAGTTTCCCATCTTTTTAGAGTAGCAGCTGCCTGTATTTAACGGTCACGCTCTCCTCCAACCTCCTCAGCCCTACTTCTTCTAATCAAACTAATATAGAACACATATTTGTGTGTTGCAACATTGGGGGAATTTGTGTGTAGGGAGAATTTCAGCTTCTACTCGAAATAACTGGGATTCTTCATTCTTCCCTCGTTTTTGCTACCATGGTTCCTAGTCATGGCTTCCAGCCCTGCTCTGGAATGGAAGGGTGGTGTGAAATGACATAGAGTAAATGAGAGAAAGGAGGGAAAGGCAGCCCAGAGGCAATTTCATATGCACATTATAGACTGAAAGGGCTGGCTCCCTGGCATGGAAGCAGCTGGCTAGAAAGAGCATATTGTCTGAAAAGAAAATTCACTCTTGTTGGTAAATGCCACGTGCCATCCTGCCCACCGATAAGCAACTCTCCACGAGGGACATCCTAACATTCTCTCCACATTCCAATTTCAATAGCATGTGCCTTTGCTTTGCTTCACTTTAAAACACCACATTCTTAGTAAGCAGTTAGGCAGTTTCATGTATTTTCAAAGTGCGTGAGTGTGTACCGTTTATGTCTGTTATTTTTACATAACTTCAAATATATAAAAATAGGCAATCAAAGGTTCAGTTAATCCAAAGGCTTCTTAGGAAGTAAAAGTGCTATGAAATACAGTTCTTAGTAAGGGTCAGCATGGGTGATGGCAGTTTAGCATCTTTCAGTTGGGGATGGGGCACAAATCGTATGCTCACAGTCAGGGGGATGGCATAATGAGTAGAACTGGCCAATGAAGGTTGCAATGAATAGGGGAGCATCCCCTGACCAAAGGTGACAACCTGCCCTCTATCCCTTCAGTGTCACCTGCAGGTATGTGAGTCCAGTGACCAAATCTACTGGATATTCTAAGTAGAAATTTAGATTTTTTAAAATGTGAAGCTGCTAGTGTTTGACATCTAATAGGCTAACCTCCCACCACCCCCACGCTACCCCCATGCCTGTCAGACCTGTCCCTGCAGCCAGGAGCAAAGCACACCAATGTCTGCTTCTCCTGCCGCCAGCTCCCTTGTTTTCTGATTATACAAGCCTTCGGGAGAAGGTAGGGACAGGGCAGGGCGGGCCTTGAGAAAGGCAGGCCCAGAACACAACTGGGCCTTCTCAGCACCTGTTTATTTTCACAGCCAAGTCCTGGAGTGTCAGAGAGGACAGTTTATCAACAGCCAGCTGGGAAGGGAGGGGCGGTTTTTCCTCCCGATGGCCAAACAAGCTAGCAGCAAGGAGAAGTTCCCCACGGTAGGCAGCAAAACTCTGCTCATGTCTATGCTGGGAGGACTGGGTAGCAATTTCAGCCTCTGAGAGCCTACTCACTTCATGGGGATGCTAAGGTGATGGACAGCACCTGTGGGCTTCCCCAAGCTCTCAGGAGACCAGACGGGAATGCAGAACCTTTGGAAGGGGAAAGGACAGGTGAGGCGTGACCAGTTCTTAAGGGTTTTAAACTCCTCATCTGTTCAAAGCTCTAGGTTCCAAACTGTTTATTTTGGGCAAAAGTCTTTTCTTAGACCTTGGAAGACAGTTCTCCATGTGCCCTGAGTACTACATAGTCTTGGGCAAGCAGTCCCAACAGAATGGTCTGAAAAAGATAAAAGAACGTTTAGTGAAGTGTGCTCGTGGCACGCCCCCATTGAGCTCTGGAAAGACCCAGGCTTTGGAGGAGGTAGGGCCAGGCTCTGGTGGGAAGTACCTAACCAGACCTCCTTCCTTCCAAGGACTCTCCCAGGCTGGCCTGACTCTGATGAAGCCACACTCAGCCTTCGAAGCCCCTGAGGTCACACTGAGGTGGCTTGTGAGTTTACTGCATGCCTGAGCAGTTCTAAACTGGCCTTCCTGGACAGCTTCTGGGTGACAAGTTCAAGGCAGCCTATTCCTACATCTAAGACAAAGTACAGAAAAAGCTCAAGTCAGACCCACCTCCAGAGTCTCACGGGTTTCACGGAAGTGGAGAGGAGAAATGAAACAGTAGATGCTTCATGAACCTCAAACTCTTCCTACATGCCTTTGCTTTAAATGAACAATGAAATCTTTTCTCATTAGAGAGGAGAGATATTCTTGGCAAAACTACAGCATTCCAAGTTCCCATTTCTTGGGTGCCAAGGACAGGCACAGGGCTGCACAAAGGACAGTTTGTGATTGCCAGCCCCACCCCTAGGCATTGGCTCCTCATCCTGTGATAAAATGAATTCCAGTAGCAAGCGAGGTGGGTCACCCTGTGAAGAGAATTGGTGTTGCCACTAGCATCCCTGTGTAACTTGCTAACTGGAAAGAATGTTCCAGAGGAAGAGGGGTTGGAGGGAGATGTTCAGTGAGAGGAAGCAAGTCAATGATCTCAGCCTAGAGACATAATCTCCAGGAAATCAGGCCGGGCACGAAAGGACCAGCACTTGTTCAATGCAGAAAACATTAACGCAGACTTTTCCAGGAGACCCGGGGAGCATTTCATTCCTTTCCTTTCTGCTTTTATGAATAACCTTTTTCCTGCCTTATTTGTACACTGTCGGACAATCTAGAACTATCACTGGTTACTTCAAAACGAAAGGGACAGAGCAGCCAAAGCGCCTTAGGGGACACAGCTGTCTTCTGGGTGCTCCTTCGTGGGCAGGATGCTCCAGAATCAGAGTGGGAAACCACTCCAGTGTCCCTGTGTCCTCTCTGAAACAACCAAGGGCCTGGCTCTCCAAACCACTGACTGCCCTTCTAACTTTGTCTTGTTTTGTTTCCTTAGATCTGCGCATCCCTTTACTACTTTCCTGGCTTCCACCTGGAAGGATGAAGGTTTGCCTGCTTTGTTTCAAGTTCCGGATGTCTCATTGAAGGTATCCATATTTTAAAAATTGAAATGAAACCAGCAGCAGTTCTAGAATATCATGGAATGTGGACATATTTCCTATCTCCTTAGCACAGTGCTGTACCTGTGACATATCAGGGTTCAGTCAACACTTGCAGAACAAATGGGTACCACCTGTCACCCTGTCCCAAGTGCTTTTAGCACCCAGTCCACCAGAACTGAGAATAAAGAAATAGGTTGGAAACATCAACAAAAAGAAACCAGAATAAATATGGAGGGATCTGCCCAAAGGTCCTCTGGGGCTGCCTCTGGGCCTGCACCTGCACGGATCCTGAGTCTCTAACCACTCACCCAAGCGTTACTTGTCTTCCACAAACAAGTCTCTAGGAGTTTTACCTGGGAAATTCCTCCTTTTCCCTCCACCTCACAGAAATCAATCGTGGCTGCTGGGGGCACTGTACAGCACTTGGGGACAGTGGTACTGGGGTCGTGGGGGCAGCACCTCCTGAGGTGAAGAGGTGACATTTAACGCTGAAAGCAGTTCCTTCTGCAAACCCGCCGGGCCCCGCAGGCCCTTGCAGGCGGTGTGCGCAGTGTTCCCTCCAGGACACCTGACCCACCCGGTGCCCGGCGCGTAGTGAGAGCGCGGTAGAGGTGGGCCATGATCTAGAGGAGCCCCTGGCTTCCGTCAGTAGTGCTTAATACGGGCGGAGGTGGCGACCAGCGGTGGGCCACCTAACGAGAGGGCGAGAGGGCGGCGGGGCAGGTGCAGCCACGAGAGCGGCGCCCCAGCGGGGAAGGTGGGAGGAGGCACCTCCAGGTGGGGAGGCTGCGCCGAGCTGCAGGGGGCGTGGCGAGGGGGCTCTGCGCGGGATCTCGAAGGGCCTGCTTTAACCAGTGAGGGAAGAGCCAGGGCGGAGGAAGGGCAAAGAGACCCGGAGGTGAAGGGAAGGGGACCAGCGCCGAGAGCTCCGGAAATGCTTGGGGGACGCCACCGAGCCGCGCGTCCAGGGAGGCCGGGGCAGGTGAGCCCAGCACGGACGGAGACCCGAAGGCCACCGCGGCAGAGACCCGAAGGCCATCGCCAGCAGCGGGAGCCCACGCTGGTCCTCAGAGTCACCTTGTTAGGGAAGAGGGACATGTGCTGGGCCAGGGGCCAAGCGAGGAGGGACKGCTGGCTGAGCGCTGCTGCAGAAACTGCCAGAAGGTTTCCAGTCACCCAGCCCTAAACGTCCCAGGCTCTCCTCTGCCGCTCGCCCAGGCGTGCCCAGGTCCCGGCGCAGCTCAGGAGCCCAGGCGCTCAGACCCCAGGGCACCTGCAGAGGGCGGGACGCGGGCAAGCTCCCTACGCTGGCAGTACTCACAGCTGGCCACGAGGCGGCAGTCAAGAGCAGCTGCTTGGCCAGTAGGCTGCGTGGGAGGCCCCCAAGTCACCCCTGCTGAGCCAGCTAGGTGCCTCGCCCGCACCCCCTAACCTGGGGCTGGCCTACCGCAGGTTTCTGAGTGACATCACTCTTGCAGACCAGAAGAGCAAGAAGGGAACTTGGGATCCCGCTGGGCGCCTAGATTAGGTCCTTACCTGTCACAGACCTCCTGGAATTTGAAGGAAGGCCCCAGAGTCTGCTGTGAGCAGATCCCTGCCTGCATGTGCTGTGAGGTCAGCACGGGCTCAGCCTGCAGTTGGTCCTTTCTAGAAAGAAACTATGCTGTGTCTCACGGAGTGAAACGCACCGTGGACACACTCTCTTCCTTCCTCCCTCCTTTGAAACAGGGACCTGGCAGAAGCCGCGGCCAGTCCTGTGTACAGGCACAAAGGTCTGGCCACCTSGCTCGCTGCCTCTTCACTGTCACCAAAGGGCAGAACTTTGAACATTCGCATTCCAAGTGGCATTCCTGCCCTGTGGCAGGGCCAGGTACAGTGTGCCCAGAGCAGCATTCCCTCAGAAACACACAGGAAACAGGCTCAGAGGCACAGCCACAGGAGGAGGGAGACAGACAGCAAGAGGGACCCCTGCAGAGAGGTGGGAGGGGGGCAAAGACACCAAAGAGAAAAGGAGAGGCAGAGATAACAAAGAACCGTTTTGAATGAAGAGGAGAATGAAGCCTAAACATCTCCTCCTTTAAACCTTTACTGGGGAGACCTTTGTCATTAGTCACCAGGACTGATGGCACCATTAGACCTTTGTCATTACCTGCCATTTTCKGGCATGACTGTTGACTCCTCAGGATGCCATGAGATGGGAAGGTGTATGGTGGTAGTTGGATGCATGTGCCAGGGGGTGACTCAGCCRTGCCCAGCAAGGCAAAACAGAAGCCTGTGAGTGACCTGGAGGACCGCAGGGGCCTAAAGCCCTGCTCCCACCTGCTGGGGTTGGATGTCAACTACCTAGAGCTCCTGGGAGTCCCAGCCCCCCCCTCCTGCCCCACCCTCTCTGCTCCCTTTGATCAGCTCTGTTGTCCCAGCCTGATGAGTCAGAGTAAAGATGGGAGCATTTCTGTTCTGCTTTATCAGACCTGTAACAAAACCCCTTGGCTGAAAACACCTGAGCAGCAGCAGAGGTCCAGCTGGGGAAGACAGAGGACAGAGACTTCCTGCTTCACCACTGACAGCTCGATCTTATTTCTCTCTCACTGACTCCAGATTTTGAAAGCTCATGACCACCAAGGAAACTACCTCACATACTCCTGTCTTTATTAATCAAGCACATAATAATTACACATGCAATTTTAAAAGAGAAGTAATAACAAACACCATTRGCCTGATGGGTGAGAGTTAGGTTTGATGAGCTCGGATGGTAGGCATATGGTTGTCCACTATTGGGGTGTGTTTAAAATGTTTCCTAGCATTGTTGAACCTGTATTCAGCTTAATTCTTAATTCTTAATATGACTGGTATTTTCAGATAGGATTGAAAGATTTAYTATCACAGGATTTTTTGGAAGATTGAAGACAGTTCTTTGACCACTGCTTTTTGATTCACTCCAAGGGGTATTGGAATAATTGTGCTTTCATATGGCTTCTAAGAGTCCGATCCTCCTCTGGGAAAAGATAATCTCTTTGACCCTTTTATTCAAAAAACTTTCCCAGTGACAAAAACTTAATGGAGGTGTTATTGGACAAATCTCTTAACTTTTCTGAGCCATAATTCCTTGTTGGATTCACCAAGAGGGTTGAACCAGATGACCTGTGAAATCTCTGCTAAGTCAGGAGGAGAAAGGAGAAAAGGACTAAAAGTGCCAACGGGCAAGAAGGACAGAGGCAAACTTGTCAGTGTTCCTCACATCAAGCCTGTGATGTTATTTTTAAAGTCACCATCTGGTGCTTACATTTTCAGTTTTTGTTATGTGAACAGGTGTGTATATGAGAGAGAAGGGGAGGGAGAGGACTGTGTCTCTGTCTCTTTACCTAGGATTTAAGAAAGCCAAGGTCGTGGGCCAAGAGTCAGCTCTAGGAACCTCAGCAGATGCTGTCCCTCAGTATTGGATACTTCCAGTTGTTAAAAGTGGAGCGCAGGCTTTGCCTTCTGGGGACAGGCCACAGCCCACGTCATGCCTCTGCTGTCCTGGGAAATGAGAGCTCCGTTAATATTTCAGTGCCTCTGGCTGAGAGTTATAGCCAGGATGTTGTGCTGTGAACCTGACCAGTTCACTCTCTATCCTGCTGCTGCTGGCGCTGAGCTGGTTGAAGGAAACTAAGAATGAGCTGGGAATGGCCAGACCTGGGCTTCAGGGATGGGAGGAAAAGGCAGAATGAGGAGCGAGGCCTACAAGACATGGGGTCCAGAGCCACTGCATCAGCTTTGGACTCACCTATCACAGCTGCCTTCCCACTCCCCAGGCCCTCATCCCCCTCTCTAGAAAGGGAGGAAGTAGCTCCTCTTGGAGGTGAGGCTGAGCTGGAGTGAGCTGCAGGTCAGACTAGTTTTCACTCTACTTGTAAAATGTGAGCAGAATTGTGGCCTGCCTCTCTCTCTTTGGGCCACAGTGACAGTCACCTGAAGGGAAGAGGAGGCCCAGAGAATTTGCATTGTTGACAAAGGCACTCAAGTTACTCCAAAAGCCTCTTGGTTATGTCTTTGTTTATACCCGTTAATTTAAAGTGCTTGTAGTGACTCATTCATTTACCCAGTGTTTATTAAATACTTATTGTGTGCCAGATTCCACAGCAGGTTGTAGGAATACAAAGATGTGCAAGGCATGGTTCTTGCTCTTAAAAAACTCTCAGCCTGATGGAGAAAACATTTTTTTTTTTCAAGAAGGAGATGAGTACAAAATGCAAAGAAAGCCACCACAGCCACCTCACCACGTCTGTGATGGAATTGGAGAGGCAGGCATCCAGCTCAGGATAAGGGGCAATAAATGGCAGGAGGGGCAGGAGCTAGGTTTTCTGAAAGGAACGYTAGGCTGTGTGTTAAAGAATGAGGCCTCAACAAGGCCAGAGAGGGCAACCTGCAAAGTACTTCGTCCTGCAAACTCGAGGGATGAAGTGCACATGGCTGTGGGAGTCCACAGTCCACAGTGGCTGTGGGAGTCGTCATTAAACAGCGTGGTCCTGCTGTGCACCTGGATTATCTTGCAAATATTTTTGTTGCTTGGTTGCAGTGAACTCTCTGGCTCTCATCCCTGTAGGTGTGGTAGTATTCTCAGAAACAGAAGTCTGGAAATGGTGAAGGAATAAATTGCAGGGAAGATGAAGGTCTACTTATAACAATAAAAACAAATGCACCTGAGGATTCTCCCACAGCCACCTCACCCTGTCCAGGTGGTCCTCGTCCCTTCAGGCCAGTTGTAAATGCCTGTAACACTTTTCYGATTCCTCCAATCCTAAGTGGTCTCCCTGCTCTCTCAGAGCCCAGAGGCAAGTTGCCACTTCTGAGATATCYAGTGCTTCCTACTTCAATGGCAGCTTCAGGGAGGTATCTTAGTGTCAGACCTCAAAACTGTGAGGGGTGGATGGAGGAGCCGAGCTGCAAGGRGTACCAGCCCCAGGGGTCAGGGAAGACCTGGCAGGGGGTAGGATCAGCCCAAAGCAGAGGAGTCCATCCACACAGACTCCCCTCTGCAGTCCCCCTTCTCACCCTACTTCTTCCTCCAGATACACTGGCCACTGCACCCTGCCCTCTGGTACCCGAAGCTGGCTGACTGGGTCATTCTGTGTTTCCTGGRTGGAGGCCTCCCCCCTCCCCTGCTCACAGCCAACAAGTGCCCACCTCAGCACTGCCTGTCTCGTGACCCTTCAGACCCTCCTCTGCCCTGCTCCTAGGTGAGCGCCCACCCGCTTTCAGCCGCACTGTGTCCCATGTGTTTCTGTCACAGTACCTTCAACCCCGTCACACTTCCAGGTACACAGAGGGTGGCAGCATGAGGTCAGAAGCTGTGGCTTGGATCCCAGGTACTGAGTGAATTCACGTTCTTCTCTTGTCCTCTTTAGGGCCGGAAACTGTCTTATTGGTCCCTCTGGCCCCTGCCGCTGCCTCAATGGTGGCCTCACAGTCAGAGTTTGTTCTTGAATGAACGGATCTAGTCACCCACACGCAGACCTTAACATGCCAGCCCCCAGATTGTAACACTGAGTTGATTCTTTTAAAATATCCTATAAAAATGAAGCATATTTTAAATATTTATCAAAAGAATCCAACATTGGCAAGAGTGTTCGGTCCTCAGACCCCAAGTACCATTCATTATTCACAGGATGAAGCTACTTGCAGGCCAGTTCAGCCACCCCCCAGGGCAGCAGGAGTGGGTCAGGCACCATGTACTGATAGCAGAMAAGGCTGTGGATGAGAAGGAGAAGGCTTCAGTTAATTGTCACCCTCTGCTTGCCATTGCGGCCTCCTCTTCCCTATGTTCTATACCTTCTAGGAACCTACCAYGCAACTTTCAAGTCCGTGCACGTGAGGAGAGTAAGAGAGAAGCTCCAAACATAGCTTTAACCTCAAGTTTCCATTTCCTCCCTAACAAACCTCTTGCCAGAGACGTAAATGAGAGCTTCRTGATGCAGGTGTACATGCCCCAAAGTCCTGTCTCTCACCCTTTCACAGAGACCAAGTCAAAAAGAAAGGAGCGGGTGCCCTGACCAGACGGGTACCCACCGTCCTTCCAGGAGCAGCACCTTTGCTGGGCTGAGTGGCCTCTCCAACCCAGAGGAGTGAGAGGGCGGGAGACGCCAGCTTCAGTCCTGTGGGTGGCTTAATGCACAGCTTTACGGAGATGGGGCAGGTGTGGCAAGGCCCACACACCGCTGGGCCATGGATGCTTGAGAGCTGGCACAGAGCCAGAGGCGAGGCTGAGAAAAGAGGGTGCACCAGGGAGGGGCTGGTGAAAGGAGGGTGCAGAAAAGAAGCCTCCATTTGTCCTTAGAATAGGCTGTGTGCCAGTCAGCTTTTCATTGCGGTGACCAGATACCTAGGGAGACAGGAGGGAGAAGGGTCTCTTAGGCTCACAGCTTCAGAAGCGACATTCATGCTCACTCAGCTACACTGATCCTGGGCCTGTGGAGAGGCACGACGTCAGGGCAGGGGTGGTTTGGTGGAGCAGAGCTGCTGACCTCATGGCAGCCAGGAAATGGGGAGAGAGGAGAGGATGCTCCCACTCCCTCCAGCTGGGCCCACCTCCTGGCCTCCGCCACCTCCCAGTAGTCCATGCAACCACGAACCGTCCCTCAGTGGGCTAATCACTGATGAGGTTAGAGCCGCTGTTTATCCAGTCACTTTCCAGAAGCCCAGCTCTGGGTATTGCTGCCCTGGGGACCGAGCCTCCAACATGGAGAATCTGGGGACACTCCAGATCCACACCATAACCAGAGTCCTCAGCTGGACGTTTGGTGGAGAACCGGTGTACGTGGGGTACCTGYGCTGCCCATGGAGAATGCAGTTCTCAGCCACGGGGGCTCAGGTTGGAAAGGAGAGACCCCTGTGGACGCCAGCCCTTGTCTTTGGCCCCAGGTCCTGTCCTTAAGCCTGCACCACTGGAGCATCCCCACAGCCACCCCAGCCCGGGGCCACTCCCTCCTAACCTACCAAAGGTAACAAACCTGAGTCAGCGATGGCTAGAGGGCTGAGACCAGAGTGCCTGTCTGTCTRTGGAAGGAAAAGCTGTTACCTCTCTGGCCTCTCTACCCCTTTCCTACTCCCGTGTTGTCCCAGGGAACTCACCATTAACTTACCCTCTCTGTTTCTCTTCCCCCTCAGGCCAGGAAGAACCAGCGTGACCTCATGTCACTCAGACATAAGAGGCTGTGCTCCGCATGTCAAGAAAAAAAAATGGTAAGCAAGGGGTGGGGGACAGAAACGGGCATGTGTCAAGGTGGTCACGCAAAATGTTTAACCTTCCACATTTCAACAAGCCAGAGGTGAGCCAAGGTTGGTGGACCAGGGGGAAGAGACGAGATGATGAGGTGAACCAATTGGGCTTGTAAGTCACTGCACTCTTACAGAGGTTATGGGGCTTCTTTTCCCCTCTTAACATCTCCCAAACACCACACACACACACACGCACACACACACACACACACACACACACACACACACACACAGAGTCCTCTTCAACCATTATAATCATGAAACAAGCAGCTTCGTCTTGGGGTTTATCATGATGTAGCCAGCACCTGGGAAGAAAAGCTGGGGAGATTCCCCAGTAGTGTCTGGCTAGTGGAGGTGTCACTCAATACCGTAGCTATAGCTGGTGGTGGAGGGTGGTGGGGGAAGAGTATCAGGAAAAAAGAGGACATAAAGGGGGTGTGGAGGGAGCAAGGACAAACCTCTGCCACCTGTCGGAGCTGCTAAAGAAAGAGGCCATTTCTGACGGAGGCTCCGCAGCTCAGAGTGAGGAGACCTGGGTTGATTTAAGGAGCAGGGTTAGTGCTGGGCCAGGATGAGGCTCGAGTTGAAGGTAATTCAGCTGTCTGGCTAAGTTTAGGGTCGGGGATGGGAAGACCTCTTCAACTCTGATATCGGGACTCTCCTTGGACCTGGGAAGGAGGCYGGGAGAGCTACTCGTGGGGTCAGAGGGAGAGCAAGGGATGGAAGGAAAACAGGAGATTCAAGAGAGGCTTCTTCCCCAAGTTCATGGCAAAGGTGCTTCAGGCCAGCAGGGCGGGAACAGAGCGGCAGTCCACAAGGGTTTTGTGTGGGAATTGGAAATGCACCTGATGCTGCTGGGGAGGCCGCCTGGGAGTTGCAGTCTGTGTTGGCTTTCCCTTGGCTGGCACCACAGAGTGCAGTGTGGGCACCGCCTGGCGTCTGGACTGGAATCAGTGTAGAACGTGCCAACCCCAGGCCCATGCCAGCTTTGGCCACTGGCTCCCACGGGGCTTCCACAGCTGTCCTCTTTCTCAAGACTCGTCCTTGACCTTTGCCCTTGCCAGCCTGACTGGAGTGCTGCCACACACCATGCTCCCACATTGGCTGCAGCTTCTGAAAGGAAGGTCTCCGACACAGAGGTGCCCAGGYACTCATCCCTGCTGCTGTTGGGCCCTGGTGGAAGCCTCAGAGTGTTAGAAACCATGCACGAAGCACYACTGCCCCAGCAAACAGTGGCTCCTCAACATCCTTCAGGGTTGGGACAGCCGAGGGGCTGTAACCAGCAGCGCCTCCTTCCTTAGTGGTATGGGAGGGAAAAGGAGGGAACTTCCTCAGCCTAACAAGGGGGATCTTAATAGTGAAAGCCTGGATAATTTCCCCTAAGGCCAGGAACAAGGCAAGAATGTCTACACTTGCCGTTTCTAGTCCATATGGTATGGTGCGTTCTACTGGGGCAATTAGGGCAAAGAAAGAGAAAAGTAAAACTATTTCTATTTCTGGTAACATGAATCCCATATCTAGAATGTCCTGGGAACACACACACTGTTAGAGCCAATAGATAAGCACAGTAGAATTGCAGGATCCAAGTTTAATTCACAAACATTGATTTGCTTCTCTATACTAACAATGAACAACCAAAATGAAATTAAGAAAATAATCTCATTTACATTAGCATCAAAAATACTTAGGAATAAGGTATACAAGATCTAGAAATTAAAAACTACAAAATACCATAGGAAGATAAGACCCAAATAAATGGAAAGAACCCACGTTCATGGATTGGAACTCTTATTAAAATGTTATAAAGACGGCAATACTGCCCCATCTATCTACAGATTCAGTGCCGTCCCTCTTAACATCCCAGATGCCATTTTTTTAAGAAATTGGCAAGCAGATCTTAAAATTCATAATAAAATGCAATAGATACAGAACAGTCAAAATTATCTTGAAACAGAAGAACAAAACATGTGCTTCCTACTTTCTCAAGTACAATGAAGAAAAAAAAAATAAGTCAAGCTCTGTCTTTAAGAAGCCAAAAGATAAACAAATATTGACAACAAAATATGATGAAAAGAAATAGAACAGACCTRGTGGGAGTGAAGGGAAGGTAAACCCTGAGGACAGTTTCCTGGAAGAAAGAGACTATTCAGCCTTTTCCAGAATGAATAGGGCATTGTAAGACATGCAAACAGAGGTGCCCAGAACTCACGGCCTCCTCCATCAGGAAAACCAAAACAACAGGTAGACAGCTACACTCTGAGGTGATGACCCTGGGAGAGCACTGGAATTCAGTAAGGAGAGACCAGGACTTGTAAGGCCCAGAACCCTGAAACAGCAGCATAGAAAGAGGAGCACGGCACACCTGCATGGACCAAGGACACCCCCTCAGCAGAGGTGAGGGTGAACTGAAGAGCCCGCAAGCCCCATCAGCACAGCTACCAGCAATCTAGCCACCGGAAAGTTCTACCGGCATCACGGGCTTGCARATCAGTTAGGGGAGTGATCCAAAATCTGCCCTATAGCTTTCATTTGGACAAGGAACTGACAGCGTCTTCCCCATCAAATCCCAGGGTCCAGGCTGCTAGACTAGACACCACCTTAAGAAGGGAATTATTGTCAGAATTCATACTGCCCTAAAGGTAAGGAATCTTTGCATATCCCGATCCCTGGGACCCCTCAGACGTGCCTCCATCGTAGCACAAGGGACTGCAACCTCACAGATTCAGTTTGACTCCAGCACCCAAGCCCATGCCATGTGGGGGTAGTGTTCTAGCACAGAGGGGGAAACAAAGGCATAGGCAGCCCATGGGACTGAGAACAGGCAAGCTTCTAGAGTCTCTCGCCCACTCAGCGAGGTAGTAACTGAAAAGTCCCCTAAATCTGGAAAGGTATGGACATCCAGGCACGAATTGAACCTTGAGTACAAAGAGTGAACAGAACAGTAATGAGTGATGAAATTGACTCAGAAATCAAAAGAACCCCCATAAAGAAGAGTCCAGGACCAGATTCCTTCACTGCTGAAAATTATACCAGACTTTTAAGAGCTGATATCAATACATCTCAAACTATTCCAAAAAAATTGAAAGTGAGAGAATTCTTCCAAACTCATTCTATGAGGCCAGTATAGCCTAATGCTGAAATCAAACAAGGACACACACACACACAACAACAACAACAACAACAACAACAAACAAAACTACAGGTCAATACTTCTAATGAACATAAATGCAAAAATTCTCAAATACTAGCAATTTGAATCCAGTGGCATATCAAAAAGATCATTCATCATGATCAAGTGAAATTTATCCCAGGGATGCAAGGATGATTCAACACATATAAGTTAATAAGTGTAATACATCACATCAACAAAACGAAGGATAAAAATCACTAAAAATAGATGCAGAAAAAGCACTCAATAAACATTCAACATCATTTCATGACAAAACTCTTGACAAAGGTATAGAAGGAAAGCATCTCGTAATCATGGTCCTGTATAACAAACTCAGCGCCAGCATGCTGAGGGGAGCAGCTGGAGTTCCTCTAAGGTCTGGATGAGACAAGGACACCACTCCCATTGCTCTCTCCCATCATGCTGGAATGACTAGCAGAGCAATCAGGCAATCAGAAGAAAGGAAAGACATGCAAACAGGAGGGAGGAAGTCAGATGGTCCCTGTTTGTAGATCACACGTGCAAACACACACACATACACACTCGCACACATGCACACACACATATACACACACACACACACACACACACACCTAAGAATTCCATCAAAAGACTGTTAGAACTGAAAGATGAACTCAGTAAAGTTGCAGGATGCAATATCAGAAGCACATGGGCTGGAGTTGTGGCTCAATGGTAGAACACTTGCCTACCCTGTGTGAAGCAGTGGGTTGGATCCCCAGCACCACATTAAAAAAAAAAAGCAACTAAATAAACAAAATAAAGGTATTGTGTTCATCTGCAATAAAAAAGAAGCACACAAAAATCAGAAGCATTTTTATACACCAATTTCTAAAAAAGAAATCATGAAAGGAATTTCATTCACAATAGCTAAAAAAATGCCCAGAAATAAATTCAACCAAGGAAGTAAAAGATGTCTACAATGAAATTTAAAACTATGATTAAAGAAAGAGAACACACACACACACACACACACACACACAAATAGAAGCTATTGGTATCCTATTACCTTACTTCAAAATATGCCACAAAGCTACAATAAACAAAACAGCATAATATTGGCATAAAAAGAGAAGCACAGACCAATAGAAAAGAATAGAGTAATCCATGTATTTACATCCAGCTGATTTGCCACAAAGATAYGGAAAATACACATTGRAGAAAAGATAGTCTCTTCAGAGATGGTGCTGGGAAAACTGGATATGCACATGCTAAAGACTGAAACTTGACCCTTCTCTCACTCTACAAAAATAAACTCAGAGTAGATCAGGACTAAAGGTAAGACACAAAACTGAAATTACTAAAGAAAACATAGGGGAAACACTTCAAGTCATTCATATAAGCAATGATTATTTGGATAAAACCCCAAAAGCACAGGAAACAAAACAGCCKTAGTAAATGAGATTRTGTCAAACTAARAAGCTTCTGCACAGCACGGAAACAATTAGAGAGTGAAGAGAAAACTGCAGAATGGGAGGAAAGTTTGTAAGCTACTCATCTGACAAAGGGTTAATATCAAGAATACATTTAAAAACTTTTAAAAATGATGATAATCCAACTAAAAATAGGCAAAGGATATGAATAATCACTTCTCAAAAAAAGTTCAAATGGCTAACAAATTTGGGAAGGAACTGTTCAAGTTYATTAGCTGTCAAAGAAAGGCTAGTCAAAACCACCATGAATATCATCTTTCTCCAGTTTGAATGGCATTTGCAAAGTCAAAAAACAATAAATGCATCAAGAATGTAGAGAAGARGGCATGTTTATACACCATTGTTGGGAATGTAAACTAGCCATTATGGAGAACAGTATGCGTGTTTCTCAGAAAACCAAAAATGGAACCAYCAAACAATCCAATTATCCCTCTTCTGGGTTCATATCCAAAAGAAAGGATATCAGCACACCAAAGAGACACCTCACCCATGCTTATTGCTGCACTGTTCACAATAGCCATGATAGGAATCCACCTTGATGTCCATAAAGGATGAAAAGATAAAGAAAGGGTGGTACTTATCCATCCTGGAAAATTATTCTGCAATTTACAGCAAAATGTATGAAAGTGGAATTTTTTCTGTTCAGTGAAATGAATCAGACAGAAAGACAAGTTGTCTCTTGTATATGGGTGTTTTTAAAACATTGATTGGAATATATAATAGAAATTACTAGAGGGCAAAAAGGTAGGGGGACAGTGAGAGGTTGGATAACAGATACCAAAACACACTTAGAAGTAATAAGCTCCAGTGTTCTCCAGCACAGTCGGGTTCCTGTAACTACCACTAGAAGAGAGAAGCTGGAAGGTTCCAAAGTCARTAAAGAGAAGGGACAGTTAATTACCCTGATCTGATCAGTATCTGTTGTCCACATRTGTTGAAATATCACAGTGTACTACATAAATAAGTACAATTATTAGATGTTAAGAAGAGGGAAATGTTAACTACACTGATTTGATCATTRCACAYTATATACACATATTGAATTATTACACCTGACCCATAAATTTGTACAGTTAAAATGAAAGAAAATCAATATGGGTGGAAGAATAAATAGGAGTGCCCCCGCCCCCTACCCCCACCCCCGCCAGATACTTTCTTTTCAGAAACAAACATCCTGTCCTTGGCAGCTTTGTTCTGGCATAGCCCCTACAGCCCACTTCCCACATGCAATACCCAGCTGGACTTAGAGGCTTTACAACAGRGGTCATGCTCTTCAGGAGGGGGTAGAGTTGCCTGCATCTTTCCTTCAAGCAGAGACAACTATAGATGAAATTTTAGAAAATGGCCAAATCTGTCTTTGGCATATTCTCTACCCTTTTATRTAGAATTATCTAGAAACTGTCCTTCGGTTCTCACTAAAGCCTTTACTGCCCACCCCGCATCCTCCCCTCAGCTAATGAGACAGGAGAACAATCTAACTMAATACAGTAGGTGATGGCCTTTGTGTACACTGATATTCCGATTTTTGCTACTTTCAGGTACCTCTAGAGGTTCTTGACACATTGTAATTTKCAACTGTGTCGCAAGTTTGAATCTCAATTCCCATCGTGCAGGTCACTCAGTGAGGAGGCCGGCTGAACACCTGCACCCACGTCTTGTGATGATCACATACTGTCAGAGCTACAGTCCCTTTGGAGAAATATTGAAAAAGTCCTAACTAGTGTTAGTCATCAACTTGAAAAAAACTCAAGATGATTTTAGCCAGTAATTCTGTAAATTCATATTGGATTTAGCCTGTATGAAGGGCACACATAAAAATTTCAAGTATGCTTCAAAGTGGGCTCATTTCTTCACTAATGGGGTCAAAAAATGTCTTGAGTGGCAGTTTGGGAGATGGAAATACAAAAATAGAGATGTGGTCTCTGTCCCCTGAAGCTGAAATTCTATCAGAGTAGCCAGACAATAAGCACAGAAATACAATAAAACTTTGATGAGCATCTGATAGAGGAAGCCCTCAGAACCAAAGGCAGAGARTTACCAAGAGTGGTCCAGGAGCCCRTGGCCTCTGTGAGAGAGGGGCCCTGAGACCTGAAGAATGCACCAGGGTGGTCTSAACAGGTCTTGAAGCCTTGCTCATCCTGAGGAATCTAACTTCCAAGTCTCAGAACCTGGAAAGAACAAAGACCCWATGACTTGAGGACAGGGTGAGACCCTCTGAAAGGATGCATGAAGGACTTTGATGTCAAATACAACTTGAGTTTGCTAAAGTGAGACATCATTTATTTCCATCAGAACGTAGTTCTCCAGTGTTCTAAGTGGGACTTTCCTCCTCAGGTACAACCAGGAGCTGTGATCAATCCAGAGTATCTGAAACTATCCTTTGAGAATTTTGTGAGCCAAAGGTAAGCCAAAGATTGGCCTTGGGATATGGCTTTCGTTCTGGTTGTATTTGTTCGGGATACAGGATTGTGRACTGAGGAGCAGAGTCATCACATGTTTAGGGAATGGTTTCATTTTCTTGTTAAACCAGACTAAATAACATTATTTCACCTTTTAYTTGTTCTTGGACAATTATTGAACTATTGTGGGGAAAGTATGATCTTTCTTTATACCTTCACAAGAAAAGCATAAAGGATAGGAGAGTCCTTTGAGAACTCAGGCAGAACTCAACATAAAGCCTCCAAGTAGATGTCACATCTGATTCAGAAGATACGGGAGATGATGCACAACCTGTCCTGAGTCTGCCACTTTTYAGTAACTAAAATCCTTTATGTCTGTTTGGTTGTTATTTGGTGATTTCTTAACACCACCATATGGAACAGAAATGACATCCAGTCAAAATTCTAGTTTGTTAGTTTAAAAAAAAAAGGGTTTTTTTTTTTTGTATTTAATTGTTGGACAATGAAGAAGGATTTAGTTATTTTACTGAAAAACTTGTCTGTTGACTGCCATGAGGTAGAGGGTTGAAAGCAAAAAGAGAGCTCCCCTACGTTAAAACAAATGAAAAGCTATYTASRCTATATGGTAATATTTAATTTCTCCCCCATACTGAGACATAGAAGGTTCTAACCAAAACTTTCTCTCTTTAAGGATAAATTACTGATCTGTAAGTGTGTTATTTTTTTCTCTGGAATTACAGGATTCTTTCCTTAGTCCTATTTTCGGATCATATGAGTTTTGACAGTGGAATAAAATATTTTTAAATGAAAGTTTTCTCAAAACCCATGAAAATATCACTAAATAAAAGACCTTGAGAATGGGTGTTCTTCCCCCAGTCATCTCACTGCTGCAAAGTGGTCTGATCACCAGKCTAACAGGTGCTGGGGTCCAGAGATCATCTGTTTTAAGATGTGCAAAGACAAGTTCCCATTCCTCAAGCTCTGGCCAGTGGACTCATGTGCATTCTTGCTTCTTCCAATCAGAATGATGAATCTTCATCAATGCGGATCCCAGACTGAACCTAAACCTTCCCATGAGAACATGGCAACAGGTTAGTCTCTTTTCAGAGAATTTGCAAGGTGAGATATACCATGCCCAGGGTGGTAGAGTGGAAGATTTAATTCCTRAGATAATTTCTAAATTTTCTGAACATTCTCTATCACTTTCTCTGTCACACGTTGCCTTGTGACACACTGGGAGGATTTGGCCTCCTCCCTCGTCCTCCACCCATCTGTCCCTTCCTAGACACCGCCCGCCCCTCTCCACATCATGCTCTTTCCCACGCTGTCTCCACAGCACACGCTTTGACCAGTTTCCATAGTAAGTTCTATAGTGAGTCCCTCCATGGCAATCCCGAAGGTACTAGCCTAAGTGTACAGGGAACTACACCTCCACACCCCTGGAATGGCCCCTCAAAGGCCCTGCARATTTTGTCCCACAGCCTCCCTAAAACACCCACCTTCTCCCAGAGCTCCCCAGTGCTCCCCAGTGTTCACTTATTGTTAACAGAAACAAGGGTGGTGGCTCACTCTCAGGCTTCAGACCTAAGACTCATCCTTTGGAGAAACCAGCCATGGGTTGGTGAAGRTAGGAGTGGGCTGTTCTTGGGGGCAGCATATTTCAAGGGTATGGAGTAGCCCAAGCTCTCTATTCCCAAATAAGCTCCCAAATTAATTTACTCCCAAATTAACTGAAGCCACCTGAAGCTGCTCTTCCATTCAACACAGGCAGTAAAGAGAATCACGATGACTTTACGTAGAGGAGAAAGTCTAAGCTCTATCCTGGGAGGTTCCCAGGGATTCGAGGCAGAACTGAACTGAGAATCCATTTAGAAAGAAAATCACAGGAGTGACATGATTTCTTGAGGGGATGCCAAAAAAAGAGGACCAGAGACCCAAGTAAGAGCTGATGTGTGTGGAGCCGTTCACTGCCTTCTAGCACAGAGCAGGGCTGCCAAGTCCCTCTGAACCACTTCTTAGGTATTCAGAAATGTTGGCTGASTTCCTGGCTCTTATGTGGCCAAAGTGGAATCAAGAGCCTAGAGCTGAGAACATCCACCCAATGGAAGCTCCCCACTCGGCTGTTATCTGGACTGTGACCACCTCATAAAGAGGACACCAGGTGATAAGCGTGCACAGCTAGCTAGAGTAGCTTTCAGGGTTATCTGTGTCAGTCACACCCTCACTCAGGGGTTCCCTTGGTCCTGGATTTTTTCAGACCTGCCTTATAAAGGACTAAATCACTCTCTCTCTCTCTCTCTCTCTCTCTCTCTCTCACACACACACACACACACACACACACACACACACACACCTGTCCTTCCGTCAGCAAGAACGTTTATTTTCTGATCTTAGAGGACAGTGTAACATGATGCTTTTCACTAATTCCTTAGCCCTGAGGGTGAACTTCAATTAGCAATAGAGGAGCTAGCTGTGGAGTGGCTCTTGCCCACAGAGTGCAACGTAGGACAGCAACCTGGGAGATGGAGCTGCAGGAACAGTGGTTGCAGAATTGACTAGAAGCTGAAGCTTGTGGACCTCCTGTTGGCTCTATTTGTGTGTGGGTTTGGTCTCCATGTTTCTACTTTCAAAACCAGAGAAGCTTCTTGTCGCAGGAGAGCTAGACAACACCAGAAACCTTCACCTTTAACCAGCCCAGAAAGACTGCTGGCACTGCCCGGGCCCACAGCKTTGTTCAGCTTGGACGTCAGTATTACAGCAGCACAGCCTGTTGCCGGAGCTGTCGCCCACCTGGCTGTGCTCCCTGGCCACATGCTATGGACACTGAGCGGCCAGCTCGTCCAGTGCACAGTATGCCAGCGATTGTCTAGCTCATTTTTTCTGGATCACCTAACTTTATATGTTACTAGTACTTCTTAATGAGAACTAAATAAATTGAAAGAACATATCTCAGAAGTGCTGTGGGTTTTCTTCTGGGTGCATTTTTCTCTGGCTCAACTCCAGAGTCTCATGACACCACAGGCTCTTGCTCTTTATAAACATCGTCATTGATGTCAACCGCCTGATTTACACCTACCATCTGGCACAGTAGTGTGATATGATACAAAGAGCACTAAGTTAGAAYTAAGATCTGGTCCTTAGCCCATCTGTGCCTGTCCCCCTGGACCACTGTTTCCTCTTCACTCACTTCATGAGACTAAACTGGATTCTAGATTTGTGACCCTATGCTATGTCTAGCTCTCATCTGGCTTGACCAAGGAGCTTGTTCCAGAGAATTCAGGACTCCAATTCTCAGGGTCATTCAAGGATTCCCGGAGGGAAGGTGTTATTTCCCACATTATTGTACTTTCCTTCAGGCARTGTATCTTCTGCAGAAGTTGAATGCTAACCAACTTTTCACAAAGGAAATCRTATTTGGAGAAGAGGTCAGGATGATAAGGATTTTAAAGATCTCTAAAAATAAATTATGCCAAAAACRGAGTCTCCTTTGGAATTGCAGAATGCTTTCTTTCCGTGCTGTAGCTTTTTGTAAGATCATGGTTATTTTTTCAGAGAACAGAACTATGCTTGTGTCCCTGAAAAGTCTCCTGAGAATCAAAAGCTCTTTTACCTTTGACTAATATTACAGCTCCAGATATGTTTTATCTTCATTTTTAATTTAATTGGCAATGATTCCTAAGGGTTTTATTTCTAGGTACTACTTTTGGCCTCTTTGACAAGATCTGTGAAAGCTTAAATGTTGTTGGGGATAAGATGGTTCCATTAAAAAACAGACTCAATTCAGAACATAAGAGTTTTGAATCTGTCTCATAAGGTGGGAGAAGTGCTTGGTGGTTATTCTGAGTTTCCTTAATAGTGGAATCTAAGCAGCCCTGTTCTTCCTCCTCCTCGCTTCAACCTCCAGAGAGCGTTCCCTGCAAACTGCCCATTCTGGGCCCCAGGACAGCTGTCTTCTACGGGATGCTGTCAGATGCCTACAAAGCTCTTGAGAAGAATCAACATTCTCTCATGTCCAGAAAGGACCCTGGGGCAAGACAATGACACAGTGAGTGGGGGGAGTCCTGACCTCAACTCAGAGAAATAACCTTGCCCAGCCAGTCTCCACAGTGTTCCTCTCCCCTGATTCCCTCCTACTCTGAAAAAAGGGACTTAGCTTTTCCTTCCTAGGAGTTGCTGGTGTTCAGCTCTGGCCACATTCTCACTCATTTCTCCTAAAGACAAAACAATTTGATGTGTGTGATTATAAAGATTCATCGATTGCAATAGAACTTGGAAAGGATCTCTTTTTATTTGGTTTAGATCTTATCCATGCTGTGACAGATGACATCCTGGTGTTTCTAAGACATTGATTTTCTATGGAAGTTCCTTGGCCCCTTTCTTCAGGTCAGAGGCCCCTTAAGAATTTATACTATTAAGACAAAGGAGAGAGAGAGAAGCCGTCCTTCTGTCCTTATTTCTGTCAGTTAAGTCTGATAGATGACAGTGGACACTATGAGGCAGTGCCTGGAGAATGGCAAGTGATTGGCAGTTGTGGCCCTTGCTGGGGGACCCACGCCTCGCCTGGCCCTCCTCACATCACCTGCAGCGCTGCAGAGATCAGCTGTTCGTCTGTTCTTTGGGCCTTCAAGTCCACCCCAACGGCTGTGGTTCAGGGTGTGATTACTTTGGGGATGTGAGTCTCTATATCTGTCCTGGTCACTGTGTCTATAGTGTCAGAGAGCAAAAGGTCTAGGCTTACAAAATTTATGTGTTCCCTGCCCGGCTTCAGGATGTTCCTATAAAAAAGGTCTCTCTGTTCCTTAGGAGGCAACGGCCTTTTGAAATTCCAAATCCTGACTAACTGGACCAACATGTGAGAACCAACTGGACCAACATGTGAGAACCAACATGTGAGAACCAACCTCTGTGCCAACTGTACTTGAAGAATGGACTTCAGAAATCCCAAACAAATGACCTCTCGCCTAAACTGACCTCAATTCTTGCACAAAAACAAACCAACCCAAACAGAAAACTTGTTTTATTCCCTATATTCCTTGTGTGCTGATACTTGCTTTCAGTTCAGCTGGTGTCCATAACGGGGCCCACAGATTCTGGTATCATTTCAGATCACCAGATWCACAGCCCAGCTAGCAGCACTTCTTTTGTTTTTTGAGAATTCTTTTCCTTTGTTTTTATAAATCAATATATCCAGTGAAAGAATTTAGAGTATCGACCCATGCATTAGGGAAAATATGTGCCTCAGATACAATTATTTAGAGCTTTTGCAGTAAGCTGAATGTTGTGTGCATAGTGAGATAAAATGCTTCCTAAATCTCACTGTGATTGTTACACCTAGAGCATCAGCAAATTTCCAACATCCCRTCAAAAAGAATAATGTCCTAGAGTTCTCTAGTATGAAGACAGAGTATTATAGTTAGATATTAAATGTCTCCCAAAGCACATGTATGAAGGCTTGGTGACCAGCCTGTGGCACTATTGGGACATGAGGAGACACTCCAGCCTTTAGGAGYTGGAGTTGAGTAGGAAGAAGTTAGGCCATCACTCTTTACTGCTAGGAATGGACAGAAATGCTGAACTTGGGGAAAGCCATGCTGCAGCTTTCAGAGAAGACAGGAGGGAGGGAGGTTCAGGGGAAGCCTGTTGGGGGCCTGTTGGCTCCGGGGCTAGTGACATTCCACTCTGGAGCTGCCCATTATCCAGAATATGTCGAGAAACTACACAACTCCATGTAACCCAAGTGTGCTAAGTTTGACAGAACCATTTCCTCCTAAGTCTTATTGGGTGAAGCTACTCAGGTTGAGGGAGGTCTTAGGGGTGAAAAGAGCCTTGCCCAGCAGTATATAATATTGGCAAGGGGAAGAAGCAGCTTGGGCCATGTTTCTATTAATAAACCTATAACAAATTCCTTAAGAATCAAGTTAAATTAGAAACTTTAGGAATGGATAACATTAAACTAACCCCTAGAGAAAACTGGGATGACGAATCCTGTTTCAACCATGTTCTTCTCAAAGCCATCTTAATTTGGCACTTTATTAAATATCATCCCTATTTCATGCATGTTAACTTTTGAGAAAAAAAAAAAAAAACTAAATGAGAACAAGAACCATAGCACCCTTACACCAATCCCTGCAGGAGACACGCAGCTTATACTTGAGAGACATTTCAAATGAAGAATAGTCAATTCCTAGACCTAGAAGCAATATGAAAAAATACAAACTGAGATCCCTAAATGTGGGACCGTGAGGCTACAGAGGGTTTGTTTAGGAGGTATTAGGATTCGGCCTTTAAGGAGGGGATTTCTCTGCTCGTGAGTTACAAAATGAACACCAGTGACTACAGAGATAACACTTTCTATATCACTAACTGTCCAGCTCTCTGGACAGGAACAAAAAAGCAATTGTGTAACCTTATCAGGAAAAATGATCAAAGGAGAAATAGCCRTATTTATCCACACAGAATGCTTTCTCTTGTTCTTTGCAAAGCCTTCAACATGACATTTAACTACCTGGCCAAGGGAGTGCAGAAAAGCAAAATAGGCTCCAGCATGTGTCTGCTATTTCAGGGAAAACTTCTCCCTAAACCTCTTGGGGTCATCCCTGACTTAATCATGAATAGGATTATCCTGTGGGATGTCACATAGCCAGAATTTCAGGAAACCCTTATTTCCTTGTTTCTCATCTTGAGAAAGTTTCTCATCTTGAGAAAAATGCATAAAGAGGAAGATGAACAAGAGATTTTTGTAACACTAGTTTGCTCTACAGARTGACACTAAATGGCTGGAGGGCAGAAATTGGCAGAGAGGGTTTTGCAGAATGTTCCCTTATTTGCTCTTTGAATTCTGAACCATTTGAATGTTTTATTGACTCAAACACAGAACAGGATGAAAAAAAAAAAACTTTAATTTTAAAGTTGCCAGAAAGCTAATCTAGCTTTGGAAATGGAAACCCAAAAAACTATCAATGTAACTGTCTTCCTGACAAACACCATGGTCCTTGACTACTACAAAGTTCAAGCAAGTTTCCAGTTCCAAGAATACATTTTATCTCTGGCCCTTTGAAGTTTTGCCACCTAAATGCTAGTACCCACTCCTAGAAACAAATATTTACTGCTTTTGTAATATTTTACACTTTCAATGCACTTTCTCTTTCTTTCCCTCTCTCTTTTCACCAAATGTAGCATTGTTCTCCTGTCATTAAATGAAAGCAACAATGTTTTATAGGATGCTTTCCATTTGATACATGCCATCCTTCCCTGGGGYACTTCTACAAAAATTCTTCATTTGATTGATACAGGCACAGCTGTTTCCTTTTTATGGCCCTGCCTGTGTGGGACTAGCGCCTCTTGCACAAAACCCTTGATGATGGCCTCTCATATCCTTCTTGTTGTTTTTGTTCTTTGGTTCTTTGGCCATTGATTGATATAGCTCCTCTCATCCTCTTTGAACCCAACCCAGTGTGACAGCTAGAATGAAATCGGAAACTCCAAATGTAGCCTGGCCAGATGTGGCCATGGGACTCTCAACCTCCAGGTCCTGGATCCCCCACTGCCTGGAACAAGGCTGAAGTGGCACTCTTTCCCAGCAGCCAAGTCCCATCCATTGTCCCACACTGACCTGCCACCAACTAAGATTTTTTATTATTCTAGTGAGAATTTCCTTTCTGACAGCTTCCTTCCTACTGCTAAATTTTTTTTGAAAACCCTATGCATGACCCTGTATTTCTTCTAGGGTTCTCTAGCTGCATTCCAGATAGCCACCATCTTTCTGAATCTAGATCCTGACACTCACTAGTCCTTCCATGTTCAATCACCTGGTCTTCTTTCTCTCCATCTTTGATACAAGTTGTTGGAAAGAATGGGGTCAGGAAGCAGACTCCATGGCTCAACTCCAGAATCCCCTCTTTAGAGCAAGGATTCCAAAAGATCTCATCTTTAAAATATATTATGAAAACATTTACATACACAGGGAAGTAGGAAAAATAGYACAAAGCACCTGTGTATCGTCCCCCTGGAGTCAGACTCGTCAATACGTTCRTTGCCATAGTTCCTTTGCCTATCATGCTTGGCCAAATCACTTTTTAAATAAAGACATTCTGACCTTTTATACTAAATAGCTAAATTTATAGCTCCAATAGATAGATAATGCCATTACCTTCCCTAATAATAAATAACAATTCTGTACTATCACCACTTAGTCCATATTCAAATTCGCCAACATGTTTCATAACCAGCTTGTTCATGCCAAATCAAGTTAAAGTTGACATAGTGTGTTTTTGCCTCCTTTAATCTTTAATGGTACCTCAACTCTTTTGGCATTGACTTGGTAAAGAGACCAAGATAACTTCTGCAGAATGCCAWAAACCTCTTTAAGTAGTACACCATTTCATGTTGTTATTTTCAAATATTGCTATCAAGTAAGGGCTGTTTATCAAATAATTAATTTTCTTCTTGAATTATAAAGTCATATAACCATTAATTAGAGCTTCTGATAAACAAGAGATAACGCATATCACATCAGTTGACACAGGGATAAAACCAAAATCATGATGCTTTACAACTGTGTAGCTTTGTTTGAGTTACTTAACTTTGAAGGGTCTTCATTTCCTATACTCTCTAGTTAACACTGTTAGTGAATTCACATGCTCTCCTTATAACAAGCCTACAAAATAGGTTTCATCCCTGTAATGTGAACCAGGACAGTGGATCTCCAAAGGTTAGATACCTTGCCCAGGTTCACACTGAGTTGGGAAGTGAACTTAGATGCTTCTGAATGTGTAGCTGGGGCTCCTCCCGCTATCTTACTCTGCCTTTACTCTGTGAAGACCCACTTCTTGGGAACAATATAATATCTAAGACTTTATATTGACCAACCATAAAATCCCTGTTAAAGTCCAAAGTAGCAATTTCCACCTTGAGGTCCTCTACCTTCTGAGGGACACAGCTGGCCACAAACCCAACAAAGATGAGATTCTTTGTGTTGGGTTTTCCCAGGCTGGGAAATACCACATGCTGCTGCAGGCAGAACCTCTGTTCTCACAGCCTGT